ACGCCACTCCAGAGTTTGTTTGTTTTTTTTTTCTCGTTTTGTTGCTGTTTGGAATTGTGTTCATTTTAAGATGTCCTTCTGAAACACTGAAAAGAAAAGAAAAGTGTCCTAACACTGACAATCAAAATGTGTGGGCGATTAAAAAGACCAAACAAAACAAGGCAGGCATGGCAACGGTTTACGATGCCGGTACGGACAATGACATGATGGTCATGTTGGGATATTTATTGTTTCCAGATCACATAAAATTCTTTGAAAAATTCTGGAGTTTTTCTTTTCCATGAAAATGTTACGACTTGATCTCTCAGTTTATTTGTGGACCTCTGTTTTGTTGGGGTTTTTTTTTTTTTGGGGCTCCTGGATTGGCAAACATTGGAATAAGTTCAGAGTGCGCAACATTTGCCATTTCAACACCAAGATCGCATCCACTTTGGATCAAGTCAGGGATTTGGACGCGGGCTTCCATAGCCACAACACAAAAATGGCGCTTGACACATCTTCGCTTTCAAATCAGACCCAAAATGCAAAATCCAAAGAGAATGTCATCTTGGCGCCGAAAATGCAAATGTAGCACAAGTCCAACTTCATGGATTCCGATTTTTGTCCATCGAATTGTTCTCAAAATGGCTCTCGTTCGAAAGCTGGCACGTATTCGCACGGCCGGAAAAACAGCGAGCCAGTGGATCTTGCAATGAGTCAATTTGTTGAGTCCCCGATGAAACGGGTGAGAGGACGCGAGCGTATGTACAAGTATTTACAACGCGACAAGAGTCTTTGGCGCGGGCGGCCTTCACAGGAGGCAGATGAGGCTCTTGCCCTCCTCGATCTCCTCCTGCACCTTGTCGCTGGACGTGGCGATTTCGGCCTGCGCCGAGAAGACGGCGCACAGGAAGGTGAGGGCCGTGCCGCCGGCGGCCGTGTAGAAGGCCCAGCCCATGGAGCACAGGCCGGCCCGGTACGGCGCCGCCTCCGCGCCGCAGTACAGGCGGGCCTTGTCCGAGCCCCAGCCGGCCGGGTACAGCATCAGGCCCAGGATCAGGAACAGGCCTGGGGAAGAAAATGCAGCGTCATTCGGGGTCCGGCGCCACAAAAGCATCTCCGTAGCTGTGGGAGAACCGGTCGGCATTTCCCAAGAATTTAAGTCTCCAAGAACAGTTGGGGGCGGGGCGGGTGCTGGGGGGTTAGGGGCAAGAGTTAGGCTTCAAGGTTAGGGACTAGCTTTAGGAGCTAGGGTTAAGGGCTAGTGTTAGGGATTCGGGGCTGGGGTGAGGCGCTTTGGCTTAGTGTTTGAGTGGCAGGGGCTAAAGGTTCGGGACGTTGGGCTTTTTTCACGTCACTAAAAGCTGGCATGGGAAGCCATGTTCTGACTCCTGTCTAAGATGCGTGACGGTGCGTTTCTGTGGCTTTGTTTCTCTTTGTGTGCAAGGCGGGCGGGGGGGTGCTGGCTGGGAGGAGGAAATGAAAAGTAGGTCAGAAATTCCTTCCACATGTTGCTCGACATCTGACGCGCGGGACGGCCACGCCGATGGATGGAAGGGATGCCTTTCATCGGCTGGACGCGTGCACAAGCACTCACACGCATGCCTCTCTCACACACACACACACACACACACACACACACATAAAACATGGTCAAGGTACACACACTTACACAATGGCTGAATGAGTGATAATTACCTCGAAAGAACATTCAAAAAAGGGCAACTATTATCACGAAACAAAGTGTTTTGTCTCCTCTTTTTTTTTTTTTTTTCCCTCACCGGCGGTGCCTTGCCGCAGTCCGCAGAC